CTTTCTAACACCTATGAAAATTTCTCAAACGGAGCTTTTTCTGACTCACGTTTATAGTCTCGGTCAATACCATCAATAGGGTGAGTTTTGTCTTTTCACTGTTCACCGATTCAACCCTAATGTGAGCCTAGCACCATGTTGTAACAGGTCCATGGCCAAGGAGCATGTTTCTGCAGACCATTCGGATCTGTTGGCCCAGAAAAGTTCCGTTGACCAAGAGAAGCACGGGGATTATTGTAAGCCTAATGCGTTGACCAAGACAACACCTATGAAAATAATGTGAGCCTAGCACCATGTGTTGTCTTGGTCAACGGAGCTTTCCAACCCTAATGTGAGCCTAGCACCATGTTGTAATAGGTCCATGGCCAAGAGAAGCACGCGTCACGAAAAACTGTCCGGCGGCGCCTGTGGTTCATGGCGCTCTCCACCTCAGACTTGGTGGCGGACAGTCTGTCAGCATCCTCCGTTGGAGGAGTATCCGGCTCGCGCCTTGCGCTCGCCTCCCCCTCCAGACCAGGTGCTAGAGCTTGGCTGGTAGAGGCTGGGTTGGCAACCTCTACGCCCGCAGTCCGGCGGGCACTTTTTCTCCTGCAAAAGTCATGAGCACTCAAACGCTTCTTAGGAACGTTGCTCTAAATGACAAACCGTGAGCTATACCTTTGTGGCAACGTCTCAATCCGCGCCGCGCTCCTCTTCCACCTACTGGGCCGGACTGACCCTTGTTGGTCAGCCGCCGCGGGCTCGGCTTCCCGCCTTGAAGGTGCTTCCTGCAAAACACCATCATATACGGGGGTCAGAAATGAGCAAGGGAGAAATAATGGTGTCGGGACTTTGGTCACAATCACCTGGGAAGCCGGATATAGTCTGGGATAGTCAGCCGTAATGGCGACTAAAGCATTATCCATGCTGAGCTGGTGGAACACCCCATCGATTAGCTCCACCTTTATGTCCGGGTCCTCTTCGGAGGCCGGATCCTGGGATCTCTCTGGATCCTCGGGTTGCGGAGCTGGACTGAGCATGCCCTCCATGACCCGACGCAGCTCCTGCATCGAAAACATAATATAAGAAACTTAAACTTCGAAAGCATGGGTCGGGCACACGGAGTGTTCTCTTGCCCAACGCCGGGGATTATTCATGGAGAACCCATTCAACGGGTTTGTCTGGAGGAAATCCTCCTTCTCCCCCTTGTACAGGCCGGACAGGATCTTCGCCAGGTCTTCGGCCGAACCCGGCCCTTTGCGGCCGTGACGGTTGGCATCGTTCTCCCCGTTGAAATACCACATAGGGTGGCCCCTGTATTGCAGCGGCTGCACCCCTCGCATAATGCACATTGCCATGACTCCAATCATGGTCAACCCGGAATGGGCCAGTAACCTTATTCGGCCCATCAAATAATGGGCGCTCTTGTCTTCCTCCAGCTGGGGGCTCCGTGGGCGCCAGCTAAGGCATTTCTTCAAAGGAGCATTACTGAACTCCGGGAGGCCGATCCGAACAGGGTCCGGCAGCGGAGCGTCTTCTATGTAAAACCATTCTGAAGGCCAGTCTTCGGACGCCTTCTTAGGGGTTCCGGATGGATATCCGGTCCCGGCGATGCGCCATATTTCGGCACCGCCCACTTGATATATGGACCCCTCGTGAGAGCGGGGTACAAGGCAGAACAACCTCTTCCACATCGCAAAATGGGGCTCGACGCCCAGAAATAGCTCGCAAAGGGCTACGTAACCCGCGATATGCAGGATAGAGGCGGGCGTAAGGTGATGGAGCTGGAGTCCGTAGAACTCCAGGAGCCCGCGGAGGAACGGATGTATAGGAAATCCGAGCCCTCTTATCAGATAGGGGACGAAGCATACCCGCTCCCCTTTGTTGGGATTTGGGGTAGCCTCCGCTTGCTTACCACCTTGGTAGGTGGCCAGCCCGGCTCGAACCGGGACCATGAAGGCCGGAGGGAGATATCCCTCCGCTTGGAGCGTCACCAGCTCGCTGTGTGGGACAGAGCATCTCCGCCAGTCTCTTGGCAGAGGGATGGGAGCGCGAGAGGAGGAGCCGCGTCGACGGTCCATGATGGAATGGATTTTTGGTCGGAAGAGCTCCGATGAGTACTCGCGGAAGGAAGATGGTGTGATTTGGATCTGGATTCTTGCCTCTCTTATAGGCAGGTTATTTGCACAGCTAGGGGGTAAAACATAAAAGATACCCTGGCTTTTCGCATTCGTGCGACGCGTGGAAGATGGCCATTATTGGGCGTGGAAGCCAAGAAGCGCAACATTGATAAGGAAGCCAGACACTGTTCGGCAGGTACATGGAACTTAAGGGAGAACCCGCCTTGCAACGCCGAAGACTATAAAACGCGCTGGACTTATCGTCATTGAAGCCTGGTTCGGGGGCTACTGAGGGAGTCCTGGACTAGGGGGTGTCCGGACAGCCGGACTATCATCATCGGCCGGACTCCAAGACTATGAAGATACAAGATTGAAGACTTCGTCCCGTGTCCGGATGGGACTTTCCTTGGCGTGGAAGGCAAGCTTGGTGATATGGATATGTAGATCTCCTACCATTGTAACCGACTCTGTGTAACCCTAGCCCTCCCCGGTGTCTATATAAACCGGAGGGTTTTAGTCCGTAGGACGACCAACCATTACAACAATCATACCATAGGCTAGCTTCTAGGGTTTAGCCTCCTTGATCTCGTGGTAGATCCACTCTTGTACTACCCATATCATCAATATCAATCAAGCAGGAGTAGGGTTTTACCTCCATCGAGAGGGCCCGAACCTGGGTAAAAACATCGTGTCCCTTGTCTCCTGTTACCATCCGCCTAGACGCACAGTTCGGGACCCCCTACCCGAGATCCGCCGGTTTTGACACCGACAGTTCCTTTCCCTGGGTAGGCATGCATTATTGTGCATGTTTGAACTGTGTTTGAAAAACCGCAACATACATAACATCTAGGGGTCATAAAGTGACCAGTAAAAAACATCTTTAGTCCGCTGACCCAATATTCCCTTAAGAACGCTAGCTTTCGGCTTCACCTAGTCTGAGGTACACATCCGGATGACCCGGCAGTAACAATCGCAGAGGTGCTCCCTTTATGCCCTAGCCAAACTAACGGGAACGTAGGGCATAAGCACAGGAGCCAGGCAACCCAGCTTGGCCAAAATTTAAGTCATATCGATGCATATAATGGCGAAGAAAAGGTACATACATGGACAAGACATAAATGTGGTGAGCTTGATGCTCGGAAAATAATAGTAATAAGCTTGTGTACAAGAAGTCCCCAGTTATAATTTAAATACATATTAAGAATTGTATGCATTATAAGTGTACGGTTTAACCGTACAAGAGCTTTGCAGCGTAAGGAATAAAAGTGAAAGAGGAAAAATAAATAAAGTGAGGAAAAAGGGAAAAAGGAGATGAACGAAGAGTCGGACGCTAGGCATATAATCTTCGGAATCTGGCCGCATTCCATGGGTTCGGCTCCAGGCGGTTGTCTAATGCATCACGCAGGCGGTACCCTCCTCCGGTGAGAACTTTGTCGATGATGAAGGGACCCTCCCACTTGGGCTTGAGTTTGTCCTTTCTCTTCTTCGGCAAGCGTAGAACGAGTTCACCAATGTTATAAGTCTTGGCCCGTACTTCTCTGCTTTGATATCTGCGAGCCTGTTGTTGATAGAATGTGGAACGGGCCTTAGCGACGTCGCGCTCCTCCTCCAGGGCATCTAAGCTATCCTGCTGATCCAGCTCGGCCTCTCTCTCTTCATACATGCGCACTCGAGGTGAGTCATGAATAATGTTGCAGGGTAACACAGCCTCGGCGTCGCACAACATGGAAAAAGGTGTATATCTGGTAGAACGATTGGGCGTGGTCAGCAGCCCCCAGAGTATGGAGTTGAGCTCCTCCACCCAGTGCTTGTCCAATTCTTTCAAATACCGCGCTAATCTGGGTTTGATGCCGCTCATAATAAGACCGTTAGCTCGTTCGACTTGGCCGTTGGTTTGTGGGTGGTATATGGAGTCCTCATGGCACCTGCAGGGTTCGGGTGTGGGTAATGCTTGCCCAAACCCTCACCCGTCCCATTTTTTTCTGCCCAAACCCGTACCCGCACCCGCACCCCGGGTATCATATCTATCCCATACCCGTACCCGGCCGGGTGCGGGTAATACCCGCGGGTAACCCATACCCGTCTGGGTCACCTTTCAAATAAAATTTTTCCATGTACTTTCAGCAATTAGCATGTACATACCACATTTCAGCATTTATATTAGTATATACCACATTTCAGCATGTATATTACAGCATCTGAACACACACACATATATATATATATATATCAGCACATGTATTCCAGCATTTCAGCACATAAACATGTCAAGTTTCAGCACTTGAACAATAGTTTCAGAATTTCAGCACATATGTCAAGTTTCAGCACTTGGAAATATTTCAGCACACGCATAGTCATTTCAACCACAAAGTTCGACACACAAATAAGTTCGTAGACCGCAAATAGGTTCAACACACAAATGGTAAATAGGTTCAACACACAAATAAGTTCAACATCTCAACACACAAATAGGTTCAACATGTGACATCTCCAACATGAAACCGAACGGTCCAGACCAACTTGACTTGCTTTCATCTTCTCTCCACTTCATGAGCCTTGACTAGCCTTGACATTTCAAAGCATCAATTCCTAGTACGGGACATAAACTGCAAGACATGAGAACTTGAGAGTAATGAGTACAAGCTATGTTTTGTTTGCAATTCTTATGAACTACTAAGTTAACAAGAATAGAAGATAACATGAATACAAGATATCTTTGATGTGCAATTCTGTAGTAGTAATAAGATACATCATAACAAGAATACAAGATATGTTTGATTTGAATTCTTAAGTACTACCAAGTACTAACCTGCATTCGTTCTTGAATATCTTGAAGACAAGTCCAGAAGCTAGTTTCTGTTGTGTGAGCATCTACAAAAGTAGACAAACGTCAACAACATTTCAGCAAGAGAAAATATTAATGAAGTGCACTATTTTGTCACCTTTGTACTTGTTTCGAAGCCAATCTTGCGAGCACATTAAAACCTCCACCATATAAGGTGTAAGTCGGCTTCTATGATCATTGAGCTTTCTGCCACTTATACTAAAGGCTGACACTGAAGCAACTGTTGTTACGGGAATAGCAAATATGTCTCTTGCTACTTTCCTTAAGGTCGGATACCTTGTTCCAGCCACCTTCCACCAATCCAGCACATTGAACTTTTCAATGTAAGGCACTAAACCATCAGTCAAGTACTGCTCTATTTCACCTTGAAGTCTAGCTGTTGCAGGCATTTGCTGAGCTACAAAGTTCTGAAATGCACTCATGATTGCAGGAGCTTTCATTGTGGTCATCATAGATTCATCATCTGGTGTACATGCCTCATTTTCCACTTCATACTCCTCCAATAATGAATGCAAACTAGCAACTATGTCATCAACTTTTTCAATGCATTCATAAGAAGATGGATCAATTCCATGGAGCATGGCAAAGCAAGCTACCAACATTTGCTTCTTGTATCGAGGGTTAAGAAGGGTAGCTATAGCCATTAGAGCTTGAATGTCACTCCAATACTTATCAAATTTTTCAGTCATGCTTTTTGTCATTTTTTGGATAATCTCATTGCTAGAAGTTTCCCACTGCCTCATTTTCATTTTAATTTCACATATCTTAGGGAAGTAAACATTGGCAGTCACATAATCAGTTCCAGAAAATAGCTCGGTTATTTCATAGAACAATCTGAGTCTCCCTACAACTTCTTTAGCAAAAGCCCAATCTTCAGCACTAGGAAGCCACTCATATTGCTTATCCTTCACTATCAAATTCAGAATATGTGCAGAACAGCGCATGTGAAGTAGAGTACCTTCACAAAGAAGCTTATTTTTCCCTATCTTGCCCACAATCTCCTCCACTGCCTTGTCGTTGACATTGCAATTATCAATTGCCACAGTCAAGAGCTTCTCATCAAGATTCCGTTCCACGAACGACTCATGAAGCATCTGAGCTATAGCAGCCGCATTATGTGGTGCAGGAACATAAATAAACCTACAATATGCACACATACACAGCAGTTTGAGAGTTGGCAAAAGCTGAAAATAGGCAACCCACAATATTTAATGCTTTCACTACAATATACCTCATGAGAATATTCCTTAGCCTCCAGGACTCATCAATGAAATGGTCTATGATAGCCATATATCCCTTCTTTTGGCTGTCAGAGGTTAACATATCAGTGGTGACATCAACCCTTGATTGGATCATACTCATGTACTCGATGGCCTTCTTCCTTTCCATTTTGTATGTTCCCACAATATCACCTCTACAAAATAAAAGAAAATAGACAGATTCATGTTATTTAGTAATGGCAAAGAAGAAACATGAAGAAGTAAAAAAGCAGGAAATAAATACATATCATATTTACCGGATAGTATTTCTTGTATGAAGCTTGAATAACGGCTGAAGGGCAGCAACAAATCTCCTAAAACCAACATGGTCTACCATAAACAAGGGATAATCATGCAACACCAACATGTTGCCAAGCTCAACTCTAGCATAATCTTGATCAAAAATATAGCTCTCCATGCTCACTTTCCCATCCTCTTCCGCACACACCTTCAATGAGGATTGACTCAAAGTTTTACCTCCCTTGGTCTTCAACTTCTTAAGAGTGCAAATATCAAGATGCAAACGAAGATGCTTAGTTCCATTCCTCGATCCTGCGGTAAGTACCTTGTGACACCAATTACACTTGGCCTTCCATTCACCATTGATCCTCATCTTCTTCATTTCCAACCAAACCTTAGATGTGAGCTTGCGCTTAGAAGGTAGCACCTCCACCTCTTCGACATCCTCTTCTTCTTCATCATCTGAAACAATAACATGATCTCCATCTTCATCCACTGGTGTTGTTGTGTGACTCGTGTCATGCATGGACTCATCTACTTGGCCATTGTTTGTATCACTGCACAACAAGAATAGGCATCCAAACACAAGTATGATACACATTAGTTAATTTAAAAAATCAGAAGTGTATAACAACAAGCATTCACTAGATGGCAGATCATTAACAACTTTCTTATTTCTTCTTGTTTGTATTCACTAGATGGCAAGCATTAACAGCAACATCCAAAAAAATATGGCAAGCATTCATTAATATTCTTTCTTCTTGTATTCATTAACGGATCAGTTAATGTAATGAACACATTCAATCATTCAACAATAGATCAATTAACTATTCAACATACTCAAGCATGCATTAACAGATTGGCTAAATCTAATGAACACATTCAATCATTCAACAATAGATCTAATCAACACATTAAAAAAAAGGTGAAACTCTTCACCAAATTGGATGCTTTGCTGCTGGATTTGCTGCCCTTCTCGCCACCGTTGCAGGTGTAGCACCACCACGGCCACGCCCCACCTTGCAACCGGGAATAGTGGAGCTGCGCCCAGGAACCTGCCCCGTTGATGGTGGCTAAAGACGCACGGGCTTGGAGGTAGGAGAAGGCGTCGGCGCACGAGACCCACTGCCGGTGCCTTCTTCAAATCCATCCCCGTCCACCGGAGTTGGATCCGCGCTGGAGTGAAGCGCCTCCTCGGCGTCCTCCTGGTCGAGTGCTATGGCGGCTGGAGGTGCCAGGACATGGAGGGAGATGGCGACAAGAGGAGCTGTAGGTCTCGTGTGGAGGTCGCATCGAGGACAGGAGGTTGAGGGAGGAGAGGAGCAGAGGAGGGAGGTGGCTGGTCGCGTTGCTGCAGGCAGCGACGGCGGCTGGCGGCGGCGACCTGTGGTTCCTCCTCTCTAGGGTTTGTAGCAAGAGAGACAGAGGGGAGGGGGTTCTGGAGTGACGGCGCGGGGGTGGGTTGGGGTCTCGGGGAGGGATTTGGGAATTGGGATCGAGGGGGAGTGGACTGATGGGCCTGGGTGTTGGGCCGCTGGCTGCCGCCTCGGCTGGGTTCTGTTAGGGTTTTGATGTTTTCAGAGACTGACTTTTAGGGCCTACCTGTCATAATGAATAAGCATACAGGTACGCGGGTATGCGGGTATGGGTATTGCCGTCCCATACCCGTACCCGGCTTACCCGATGGGTATAGTTTTTGTCCCATTTATAAACCCATGGGTAATTTTTCTTCCCAAACCCTTACCCTAATAGGGTTTTTACCCGCCTGGTTCGCGGGTAGCGGGTACCCATTGCCATCTGGAATACGAGGCGTAATCGAGCTTGATGCCGAGATTAGCACACTAGGCTTTCACCTCATCGGCTGTGAAATTGGAGCCGTTGTCAGTGATAATGTTGTGTGGAACACCATAATGGTGCACAGTGCCGGATATAAAATCTATCACTGGCCCGGCTTCAGCCATTTTGACTGGTTTGGCCTCTATCCACTTAGTGAATTTATCCACCATGACCAACGGGTATTTTTTCTTGTGGCTTTCACCTTTAAGGGGTCTGACCATATCAAGCCCCTAGACCGCAAAAGACCATGTGATGGGGATTGTTTGTAGAGGAGTGGCTGGCATATGGCTTTGGTTGGCGAAAAGCTGGCATCTGGCGCAATGCTGGACAAGGTCCTGCGCGTCTGCTCGGTCCGTTGGCCAATAGAAACCTGTACAGAAGGCCTTGCTTATGAGGGCCCGAGCCGTGGCATGGTGACCGTCGAGACCGGCATGAATTTCAGCCAAGAGTTGCCGCCCTTCCTCCTTTGAGATACATCTTTGAAGTACTCTGGTAGCGCTTTTCTTATAGAGTTATCCCTCGTGAACCTTGTAGGCATTAGAGCGCCGCACAATGCAGCGTGCCTCATTCTTGTCCTCAGGAAGCTCTCGCCTATTAAGTTAGGCCAAGTAGGGTTCGGTCCATGGGGCGATGACTGCCATGATGAGATGGGCCGACGGTGTAATTTCGGTGGCTGAGCCCTGGATGATGTCGGTGTGTTCGGATTCTAGGGTTGTATTCGGGTCTAGATTTGTAGTGACGCTCTCCCCTTGCCACACCACGGATGGCTTGAAAAGCCTTTCCAAAAAGATGTTAGGTGGGACAGGGTCACACTTGGCACTGATGCAAGCAAGGATATCCGCTGCTTGATTACTTTCTCGAGCCACATGGTGAAACTCGAGCCCCTCGAACTGAGTCGACATTTTGAGAATGGTGTTATGGTAAGCCGCCATCTTCGGATCTTTGGCATCGAAATCTCCATTTATTTGAGATATTGCGAGGTATGAATCCCCGTGCACTTCCAGGCGTTGTATGCCCATGGAGACGTCCATCCGAAGATCATGCAATAAGGCTTTGTATTCGGCTGCATTGTTTGAGTCCGTGAACAATATTTGTAGGACGTACTGAACAGTATCTCTGGTAGGGGATGTTAGGACAACGCCTACCCCTAGGCCTGCCAGCATTTTGGAGCCATCGAAGTGCATGATCCAGTTGGAGTATGTGCCGTACTCTTTAGGGAGTTCGACTTCTGTCCATTCGGCGACGAAGTCAGCCAATACTTGAGATTTAATGGCCCTATGCGGTTTGTATGATATGTCGAATAGAAGGAGCTCAATGGCCCACTTGGCAATCCGGCCCGTAGCATCACGGTTGTTTATTATGTCATTGAGAGGTACCTCGGAGGCCATCGCAATTGAACACTCTTGAAAGTAGTGTCGTAGCTTCCGGGATGCCATGAAAACCGCATATGCTATTTTTTGATAATGAGGGTACTGGGATTTGCATGGTGTGAGGACGGTGGATACATAGTATACTGGCTTCTGGAGCGGGAATTTGTGTTCGTCCTTGTCGGGGGGATGAACCCCGGGCAGGCAACGGAACCCGGATCCTTTTCAAAAACAACGGGGCCCGCATCGCCCCACGAACTGGCACGCGCCTGGCCGGGTCGCTCGACCCGGCAAGGCCCGCAACCCGGCCAAGCCCCTCGACTCGGCAAGGTACGTCGACCCGGCCGCAGCAGCTGGCGCAAGGCAACTCAACCTGGTGCAGCCATGGCTTCCCCAGCAAGCCAACCCACCCGTGGCGTCCACGGCAACCCAGCCACGGGTCAGCTCCCGTCCCATCTAGGCCGTACGATGGGACGAGATGTCACGCCCAATATGCGACCCTATCCTAAAGGAACTCGAAGGTCCCACTAAGGATAGAAGCGCATATTGGAGATGCTTTTGCAAGGTGGATATCATTACATCAACATTACATAATAGATGGGGATACATACAAAAGGCATACAATGCCACACAATACAACATCATACATAAGATCACCATCTGACTACGGATGAAACACAAACAGAAACTCAAATGACATCCACCCTGCTAGCCCAGGCT